GATGCGATTACGGATCTAGGAATAGGGTCAATACTATAAAAAATAATTACCTTTTTTTTGTTTTGCGCTGCTGTGCAAATTACATATACAGGAAATCGAAAGGATCGTAATTTTACACCACTTCCAAAGTACATTTGTTAACTAGGGTACAAGTCTTCCCTATGACTGGAATAGGGAGAACGTGTTATAAACCGACGGCAATGGGACGGCAGATTGCTGTGTGCTGACGATTGCAGATGCAGCGGAGACTGAGGAGGAAAACGAGTTATGAGATAATCCATTTTGTCCATTACAAAAGTTGCATGCTGAACCTGAGTAATGCCAGCACTTCTGTATTATGCTCTCAATTCCAACGCTTGTTTTCATCTAGGGCCCTAATTGTTCGCGTAATTGTCTATCTGTGTCATCTGTGACACAGGTTTATCAAGCTAACACCGCGCGCAAACTGTGCACTCAAATATGATAGTGTGTTCTTTTAGCAAAATTCACCCCGTACTTTAAACTACTCCTATTCAAAATGCACCTTTTTATGTCACACAGTTTGAGATTGTTGACAGATGTAGATTAAGAATAGGTCACTGTAAATTTCCATGTCATCTTTATCGCCTTAAACTGAGCGTTAACTCAATTTGTAAATATTGTAAACATCCAAACTGTGATCTTCAACATCTATTCTTTGATTGCAAGTATTTTAATATTCAACGACTTCTTTTTATATGTTCTTGTAAAGATTTGATAGAGATAAATGATTTTCCTCAAAATGTTAAACATTTGTTAAGATTTAGAGAACTGTATAGCATTATTTATGATTTTTTTCATTAATACATTTGGTCCCTTGTGATTGTTATGAATATGTTTAAAATTCTGTTTCTTTAAGTTTTATTTTATATTAAGTTATTATTAAGTAATTAGTTGATTATGTTAGATTTCCTCGTTTTATTTTTGTAAATTCCTGTTGTTCGTATCTTATTTTCACTAAGCAAGCTGTTTATGTTTAAGCCAATGGCCCTGGAAGCCAATGCCTTAAATAAATTAAAAAAAAATGTTGACAGAAAAATTTAGTACAATAAAAACTACTCTAAAAAAGCTGGCCAAGTGCGAGTCGGACTCGCACACGAAGAGGCACGAGGTTTATTATAATATCCAGAAAAAAAAACGGCAAGTAATCACCTCTGTTGTAGTGGATCTCCCAAAAATTTATTTTAGCTAGACGCTCCTATGCCCGTATTAACCGATTCGTTGCGGCGCTCGTATTTGAAAACTTTCCGAAAAAAAAACGTCCGGGAACACTGCTGGCGACAATATATTCCACAGTTTTGTCGAACGTGGTAAAAAATTTCGACAAAAACGCACGGTTGTGGATAGCCGCGCATCAAGATGATGATGATTTTTGTCGCAATGTACGATGGCGAAATGCAGCAGCTGGAATTAATCCGAACAATTCCTCAGAACACTCCCCGTGATAAATGCGATAGAAGATGCAGAGCGAAGCTACATCCCTACGCAAAGCCAAAAGATCAAGCTGATCGGAAAGGCCCGTATGGACGGTACATATGTCCGTATGGTACGTATGGACACAAATTAAGTTTTAGAAAATAGAGAGAAGGGAGAGCTGGATAAAAATAAAAATAAATCCTCAAACTCGACTGCAACGCCCCCTAAAGTTGTGCGCGGGCGCGGGAGTGTGAGTCGCGGGGATGGCGTAAGTTTTCTTAAAATTTCCAATATTATGCGCAAATTTCTTATTTTTTCCCGTAGAAAACTTAAATGGCCTGACCAAGGGAAACAGGGTTTATTTTATAGACGACAACAAAATAAAAGCAACGGCTCAGTCATCATTATCATTTTATGAATCGATTTATTTACAAAAATGGTGGACATAAAAATAAGCTTGCGTTTGTACCGGGATGAGCGCGCAAATGGCGAAACAAAAACGCGTGCGCAGGCTTCTATTGAAAATCATATATACCGCCATCTCTTATACCAGCACTTCACATGGCTATTCGTATTAGCCGTTTGTCATTATGACAGTGACAGCAGGTTGGTCTTATCATAGACTGTTGTCAAGTTTACAAATAAAAGTACTAATAGCCATGTAAGATTCGGCATTAGGTAATAGGTAAGCTGTTTGACACATCAATTTGATAAATTATACATTCCATAAAAATACATAATTAATTTTTATACAAAAAAATAAACTTAAAATCTATACACTCAACGAGTACGATAAGACGCTAAATATGAAAAAAAAAACATACAAAATATAATTATTCAAATATTTTCTTACATACGGTGAATAATGATAATAGATACTATTATAGCAAATAAACATCCAAAGTATGCAACACAACACAGTCAGCACTTCAGTGTTTTTTTAACATTTTTTTATTTTAAACTATAGTTATGTGACATAAAGTTCATAATCGAACCATAAAATGCTAACAATGCAATAGCTTGATGGAGACCATGAATAACGTCCTATGTTGTGTTTTCCAATAGGTACATACCATGTGCAAATAGCTTAAAATTTTCAATCACAAATAAATAAAATTATAACAATACTTAAAGCCAATACTGAAACAAATACGATTGTCACGGGATGTCCTGACGTTGAGCCAAATTACTATGTTACGTTAAACATTACAAAATGTTAATAAGTGTAAAAAAACATATTATAATATAAGCATTCAAGATCAAGACTTCCTTAAAACGTGGGGCCAGACTCGACCCTAAATACACAGCTTAATTTGAACATTGCCAAGATGCTGAGAATAATAATAGTAATGTTCATATTTAGTCACATCATTCTTTTTTTTATTTCAACAACATAATAACACTTTTGGTTTATACATAAAGCTATAACAACAGTAACATTCATCGATAACTTTCTCGAATATACCTTATTATCATACATGATTTGTGTTTTTATACCAGTTAACGCTATTCCTTTAAAACAAAAAATGTTTATTAGTTTATTATTAAAATACATGATATAAAAGAAATATATATAAAGTTATACAATAACTGTTTCATAATTATCACATAATTTCTCTATCTATGTCTAAACAATCATTTCATCATCCTTTACATACATTAATCTTAATGCTTAAAGCTAAATTATGCAATTTATTGACAAAAAAATATCTATGACAAAAATATATCATGTACCTATAAACTCTTAATAGTTACCTATTTCTTAATATAAATCCTATCGACTGGCAAGTACATAATAGAGCCTAAGTTTCGTTAACTATTTATTAATGAATTTAATTTTTTTGGTATTGAATGATGCACAGAAAATTGACTGCGTTGCATTTACTAAACAGCTACTTTTAAACACTCACTTTCTTTTTAAATAATAATTTACTTATATACACAGAGTAATATGTTGTTCATTTGCAATGGCACACAAGGACAGTTGAAAGGGATGACAGATTATGGTCAACTCCGTTCGCATAGCTATCTATCTATCTATACCCATATTAACGAGTCGAGACAAAAATCTCAACCACAAGAATCACATTTACCAACAAGAACGAACGACGCTGACCTATAATATACCTACAGTCAGTTCGTAAAGTCTCACGAGAAGAAGAAATATAGCTACCGTTAAAGCCAAGCTCGAAAAAGGTTAGTCTATAGGTTAGCAATATTGGAAACTACCTGCAGTATAATATATTTATGTATATTAAAATATTTAATTTTGTTTGTACAGCCCTTACGGCCGCACTCAGACACGCCAGTTAAATTTTATGTTTGTTTAAAGTCGATGCTGTCACTTTCATTTAGATAGAAATTTAATGAGACAACAAGATTTAAATTGACGTTTCAAAGTACGGCCTTCAGTCACTTTCCACAATTAATTGTATAGTGCCGCATGTAAGAACGCACCGACTCATTATATGAAAATATTTCGAGTGATTCACTTTAAGGTAAAATTTGCTTGCTTTCGATCTCCTAAGTCTATATAGAATTTGCTTTCATTATTGGGAATGATTCAAGCAATTATCGCCTCAAAGTATTAAACTAACTTCTTCGATTGTGTATGACGCCGGCATTTCACTTGGTTATTCGTGTTTGCTATTTGTGAACTTGACATCAGTATAGGACATACTTCTTACATACTTTCAGACTGTGGTTAAGTAGACAAATAGCAAATACGAATAGCCACGTGAAGTGCGGCGTAACACTAATAAGTTATTAGCGATCACTTTTTTTAAAGAAGCAATATGTAATACTTATTTGGTCATGCACCGACAGAGATAGTAATACATTTAATCTTTCATGTTTAGAATCCTACATTATCACTGATGAACAGGCTATAGAGTATTTTCAGAAAAGTTAGGGTTCCCAATGAAAACTTTGATAACGTAAACCAGGGTGTGAAAAAATAATCATATATCGCTTACACTGCGGAAGTCATTGACAGTATAGCAAAGTGATACATTAAAGTCTTATAGAGGACATCAATTTCTACAAACAAGTCCGCGATATCATATGTCTATCTATTATATAAAATCGTTATGCCACTACTAAAGGTCACCTGCGTTAATTTGAGGAAAAAGGATATAGTGAGCCAAACTTAAGAGATGGGCATATGCTGTCGCGGACTTATTTATTGCATTATGGGGTAATGCACTACCTTAAAATGCCATTGCTCTACCTTAAAACGGGGCGGCAGGCTGCGGAGGGCGGCTACTTGTCATTACGCTGCCCTATCTTAAATGCCATGCTTGTAATTACCGCTGCCCTATCTTAAATACAAGTCTGGCCCTGCCCTGTTTGAGACGTCGACTTATTTTGAAGTTTGATTAAAGTTGATGCTTTCTTTGCAACAATAGAATCATAGAACACACCACGCTGTCAAGTAAAAATTTACTGACGGCACTGAATGTGTTAAGACACATTATAAGGTGTATTTACAAGAAGTAAGTGCAGTTATTTGTAATTATTTAATAGTAAAGTACCTATTATTATTATTTACATAGTTAAACAAATAACTGCGGTATTTGTTAATCGACAAAAAAATGTAGGAAAGCCAAGTAGAGATCGAATAAATTTAGATTTTACACTTAGTTACTTTTAGTCGAAGATTGCTTGCTCTGTACTTTGGATTTTACTGTTAATTCTAAAAGTAGTAGTTACCGAATTCTGCTACAGTAAATTTGAGTAAGGACCTAATGGCTCTTTTGTTCAGGCTTCAATGGTACGAAATTCGGTTATTCATAATTTGTCTCTGTCAATCCATTGAGGATTAACAAAGACAAAGCACAGAACTTGAACCGAATATTTGCTAATAAGAGGACGGTACCCCAAGCCCATGGACGGACTTCGACAGATCCGTATAAGTATCGCCATCGTCAAAGTTTCTAGAGAAGGAGCTATTTTGTATTTAAGTCCAATAGGGGCGCTGCTTAGATTCCTTAAAACGTTTGACGTTAGCGATACGATCGATACGGATCTGTCAAAATTCGTGCTCGGGTGATGAATGATCGGGAACATGTCATATGTATTGTAAGAGCCTAACAAATATGTATGTTAGTAAAGGGCATCGAAAATGTGATTTAGCAGGTAGAAAATCTTAACCACTTGTTTACAAAACGTGGACTAAAGTTAAATACATAAATATTTCTTACGATCAGCCCCAACGTAAGCACTATAGGCTTGCGTTATGGGATACTAGGGTGAAGGATAGAATACATATACTGATACATATATAAATACAAATTAAACTTCCATGACTGGATTAGAAATGCTCGTATTCATCGCACAAGCATCTGCCCCCACCGGGCTTCGAACCCGGGACCTCTCCAGTTGACGAACCTTGAAACCCGGCGTACAAACCACACGGCCACGGAGGTCGTCATTCGGTCAGTCGGAGTTAGATTTGGTTTTAATCTATGCCTGTCTTCTCTTTAGCAACTAAATGAGACAGTAAAATTTTTAAACGGGTTTAACTTCAGCTAACGTTATGTAATACTGGGGTAAAAGTTTAAAACAGTTACTGTACAAAAAGCTAAAGTGGAAAAGCGAAATTCTGCGAGTTTCATACTGCAAATGGGAAAAGTTAAGGTAAGCATCGGCGTCAAAAGTGCCATATATTTTATTTTATAATATCTAACGGCCGTAATCAACGACTCCAAACAATTCAATGCCATTTAAAATCATGTGGTGATTCACTTTTTTGTTAAAGCAAATATCTTTTTTTAAATAAAATAAATTCAAAAGTTAATTGGCGCCCCTGAGTACGGCCGTAGGGCGCCTTCCTTACCGGGTCGGTGCGGGCCCGTTTCTGTACCGAATCTGTACAGATTCTTTACCAAAAACTACTCCTTGACTGGCTCTGTTTTGGTGCAGTAATTTTCGTTTTATTTGCGAATGAATTCGTTTGTGGGAGTGACAGGACGGGCGAATCGGATGGTTCGGTAGCCCTTGGTACAGAGAGCTGTGTATACGCTCGTTAAAGAATCTGTACCAAAACTACTCAGTGAGGAAGCTCTAGAAAGTAATTTATGATATTACTGCGGTAAGTTGGTTATTACAAACAAGTAGACGAATGTAAGCCCGAGACGAAGTCGAGGGTTTATCATAGGCACGAGTTTGTAAATACTAATTCCTCAAGAAAGTCATACAACGTTTTTCAACACATTTGAGAGAAAACAGTTTAATTTTGAAGTAATGAAGCAAAGTTTTTCTTAGAAGAAAATGGCGCGCATATCCAATTGGCGCCACCTGCTAGTGGTGAAAATTAGAACTACATCATTCGTCTCTTTTTCTTTTTAACATTAAAGTGAGACAAACGTATAGTTAAAAAGCGTTTTCAAGGAGGTTTTATCGAAATAAAAGATGCTCCATTGCATAGCCCGTAATTTTGCACTTTCGAACAATGTAAACAACCTCCGTTTGTGCATTTTTTGAGCAAAGGTGCTGAAAAGAATCTTTATAGATTCGGTACAGAAACGAAAACTAAACAAGCCCGCACCGACGCGGTGAAGAAGGCGCCTTAATGGGTGAAACTTAAGTACACATCTACTAATTTAAGTTCCATCTAAGTACTCGAATCTCTATAAGTACGCCATTTATTGCTATAACCGATGGACATTATTTTATTCTATTTAGACATTGGGAAATTTAAAACATGTCGCCGTTCCATTTCACAGAGTATAATTATAAGTAATATTACAATTATTTTTTTCTTTATCGTAGTTTGTTGGTACATCGAAAACGTTGATGCTAGCACCACGACAACTATTATGGCACGTTGGAAATATGGACCTTATACGTGTCTCTCATATTAAACGCGAAACTTTCGCGTTGTTGCTCGTTTTCAATTCCTATAAAACGCTCGTGAGGAATTTATATATATATGTATACATACATATATATTTGTGTTATAAAATATGCATCCTCCGTGGTAACTTCGTTTTATTTACAGTTCTCGAGTTCTTTTATAAACAACGCTTAGTAATTAGAATCAGTATTATTATAATACACATGCAATTATATTAAGTTATTTAGTATCACGCTTTAGCGATTTTTATTCTTACATTGTTAAGATGCCAATTGAAAACGTAACGACCCTTCAAAATCCACAAAGTATCGATCATGAGATATAGCTTGTGTTTGTTGGCGTTATGTAGAAATATTTTTTTATTCCACAAAAATATATTTACAATGCTGATTTCCAAAAAGAAAAAGGCAACAAGACATAGTAGATTTGATTCCTTACGAAATGAGATCTTTCTTAGTTCACAAATAAGTGATATCGACAAAGCATGTAAAATCGAATTAAAAAAACTAGCATGTGAGTAATACCGGTTTCACACAAGGCGATATTAGTTGATCATCAGCTAAATCACATGCGATTTGAATTATCTAACAGACTTTCAATCAAATCGAACCCGGTATAAGGAGTCTACGTGAAGATTCTAAACTTTATATAGCAAATTGAAATTTTAACAAACTTTACGTCGACCGTTACGTTTCCAATTTTGCACACTATACATTATTAAAATATCTACATTTGTATCTAGATGTCATATACAGTACTTATATATCCTAGCTGGTTTTGAGTTTTAATGTACGGATCAGTAACGAAAATATGTAGCAAATCTTATAGCCGTTACAGTAAACTTTCAAAGTATTTCACAAACTTGTCGCAACACTATGAGATCGTAGGAATTATTAATACATGTTGACAATTTGTGAAGACACTATCGAATGTTTTTTGTACATTTTTTGTAGAACAGTTCGCCAACTAATTATGTATGAGCATGGCATTTTTTTTACATTTTTGCTTATATTCCTTATATAATTATCGGTTCAATACCATAATATTAAAATTTGATTAGAAACTCTAATGAATACGTACCTTAGTACCTTTATAATACCTTAGATTAGTAACCGAGAAAATGAAGATTTCTGTCGCACGCAGAGACGTCAATTGATTTAAAAAAAATAAAGTTGCGCTCACATTCCTTGCTTTAGATTGACAAGCATTAAATGAGGTCTCTGAATGAGGCAGTTATTTTGATATAGTTGGCGGAACTAGCTTTACATCTTTGTGTTTGTACATGTAGGAATTTAACATATATTTATAGAGTAGTTGGACGATTTTACTATCATTACTCATAGAAATAAACAGGTTTATATATACATTTTAAAATTATCAATGAAACGAAGCCATTAAGTCCTTCATACCATATCAAAAGATTCGACCGAATTATTATGAAATGAAAAAAAAAATCTTTAGTAGACGAACCTAGCTCGAGATTTTTTATAGCGATGTGAGTATAGTAAAATCGTCAATATTTTAAAGAATATAAGGTTTACAATATGCTTCTCTTATCACGGCTCGAGTAGAGGCCGCCATTTTTACGATATGGTGGGAGAACTTAAGATTGGCGTATAGTAAAATCTTTATTTTAGGTAATAAGGCTTACAATATTCTTTTTCATGCTGGTGGACTGGTGAAGGCGGATTTGAAAGGGAGGCCGCGATCTTGGTGATAGTAGAAGAACCTAGCTCGATATTTTTTATGCAGTCGTGAGCAGAGGAAAATCGTCCGTATTTTACAGATAATAAGGCTAAAATAAGCTCCTTCTACGGCCCAAGGAGAGGCCGCTGTTTTGACGATAGAACTTAAGAATGACGAATAGTAAAATCGTCGATAATGTGAAGACTTTAGATTGGAGTATAGTAAAATCATCCGTATCTTTAAGGTAATAAGGCTTACAATACGCTTTCTCTCGCCGGCGGGCTGGGTGAAGGCGGATCTGAAGGTGAAGCCGCGGTCTTAGTGATAGTAGGCGGAGCTCTAGCGAGGTTAGCGCCCATAGTGATCGGAGTATCGTCAGGGTCTTCTTCCTCGCCTTCTTCTAGGTCTTCGTCTATGGGACTTAATACGTCAGCCGGTTGTTGGACTTCTTCTTGTTTCCTGTGAATGATAAGGGTAACATTAAGGGTCAGAAAAACATTCTATGTAAATAAGAAAAAGCAGTCATCGTCATTATCTACAGCTTATAAAGTAGAGGCCTATCCTATAGATGGAATAGGGAGTTTGGGTAATGTCGAATCACGAGGGCCTAGTGCAAATTGCTAACGACTGCAGATGCTGCTAAACGTGCCTTCCAAAGAGCGGACGAGCTCGTAATAATAAGTTTTTGGTCACCCATCCAATGACAGGCCACTGCGAAAGGTGCTTAACCCACGATCGCATATAACTACGCTAACCCCCTGTGCTATCGAGCTCCTGTATGAAAAGGGCAATCATACGTTTAAACTTGCTTAAAATTATTGCTATCACTCTCTTTTCTATATCAATGACACGACTCCGTGAGACGACCTCCGTGGCCGAGTGGTATGAACGCCGGGTTTCAAGGTGTCGCTTACTCGAGAGGTCCCGAGTTCGAGTCCCGGTGGGGGCAGATGTTTGTGTGATGAATACGAGCATTTGTACTCCAGTCATGGGTGTTTAATATGTATTTATATATAAATATACTTATATATATGTATGTATCAGTATATGTATTCTATCGGTTACCCTAGTATCCCATAACACAAGCTTACAGTGCTTACTTTTGGTCTAGGCTAATTGGTGTTTTGGAAATTAAAAAAAATGGAGTAGTAGAACACGATTTCATTAAATTTATTTGACGTCTATGGGTCTTGCCGTTAGTGCGATTCAAATTTAATGGACGCAAATCACGGTGCAGTATACGAATAGGGTATTTTCCAAATTTTTGAAAACTGCTTATATTTAAAGATTGGGACAAACGATTAAACAGAAAAATAAAAATAAATTCTTTAATATCTTTTTTATCCATAGGTACGCGAAGGATTTCATTAATGTTTTATTGAACTGAAATACTGAAAACCTATGCAACTATGCGCTTGCTGCCAACTTCAAAACCACTGTACAGATCACTTGGTGTTTGAGAGGCAATGATTTTACTATTATTGGCTGTAAACAAATTCCAGTCATGTGGCAATATGAACCTTATGATTGTAGATATAATTACCTGTGGAACGCAGGGGCTTCGAATGAAGTTAAAGTAAGTACGCTAAGAAGAAAGCCGCGGCCATATAGAATTAAGCGTTGTAATTCTTTTAATCTGCAGCAAACGGGTATCGTACTATATATGTAATTATGAAGTTTTAATTAATAGATATAAGTACCTGCGGAATGTAGGAGCTGCGAATGAAGTCAAAGTAGAAGCAAGGAAGAAAGCCGCGGCCATATAGAATGAAGCATCATAGTTCTTCGTCGCATCGTATACGGCTCCAGCTAATGGAGATCCAACTATAGCGGCCGCTCCACGGAATAATATTAGCAATCCGAAGGCATTAGTGAGTTTGTCCAGCCCTAGAAGATCTACTAAGATGATAGATGTGAGGGAAATATAGCCGGCTGAAACAAAAATTAGAATAAATCAATACATATTCCAATAAATTCATCATCAGCCGGTTAAACGTCTCACTGGTGGGGCACAGGCCTTCCCTATGGATATAATAGGGAAATTGGGCCATGACCCACCACTCGGGACCAGTGCGCGTTGGTGAGTGCTAACAACTGTTGCTGCAGCCGGGACCGTGCCTTCCAAAGTACGGAGGAGCTCAAGATAATAAGTTTTTGGTCACCCATCCAATGATCGGTCAATAATGCCGAAAGTTGCTTAACTTTCACGATCGCAGGCTGAATGCAGTGACCACCTGCGCCATCGAGCTCCTCAAATAAATTAGTGAATATAAATTAATAAGTAATACATCGAGCAGATTAATGCTTAAAATAAAATATAATAAACTTAACATAGGTCGCGGCACGTTTCTCTAGCACTGAACGAAACGTGGAGGGAATAGTTGCTCATGGGTAAATTAGTAGTTTAATTTGGCACTTAATTGATAATAGAAAAAAAAATCATTACTTTAGTGTAAATCTTTAAAAAAATGAAATAGTAAGTCAAGCGATGAACAGAATTTGGAGGTTAGCTGCTATTTGGGTACTGCACTGGCACGCACGCAAATATCACTTATATTAGGTTAGTTAGTTTCGTGTCTCGTGCCGCGACTTGGCAGTATTTCTAATAGACATAGACAGACTGCTTAGCCACAACCAAAGACAAATAAACTTGCGCAGTAGACTTTTATGTATGTAAAACTGCTACTGCGCAGGCTTCCTTGGCTATGGTTGTTGCTCCAGAAGTTTGCCGGGGAGTATAAGCACTAAGGGATATATATGATTGTAACGGATAGATACATTAACGAGACATATTTATTTAGAAATGCATGACATAGGTATAATTCATCAAACAAACATTAGCCCCACCAGGATTCAAACCCACGACCTCTAATTAGGTGAAATCATGATATACATTGCATACATTAAAAACGGACTTAACAAACCAAACTAAATGTCACATATAGCACTATTGTGACAAGCTAAAGAGAATTTTTTGAATTAATTTATCTGTGTATATAATTTGTATTAAATTAACTAACGAAAGGAATACTGACAGGAAGTTATTAATATATACATTGTTTCGACTTACATATAGCAATACCAAAGGCGATGGCTACAGCAACGTACGCTGCATAAGAATAACAGAAGGGGGTCGCCGCTACCGATATCTGAAAAAAAATCAAATAAAAACTACGTTCTTGTTGCTACACAAAAACTATATCAGACCTAAGTAGAAAAAAAACTGCAAAATTATCAAGGCATGTGGCAGTACTATGGTATTTGCAACTAAAAAGTAAACATATATATTTTTTTTTTTTTTTTAATGAAAAAACCAACAGCGTTACAATGAATACTTACTAATACTACTAATAATGCTTTTATTTTGTTCTTTTAAAACTAAACAGATAATGGAGAAGTTTCATGATGTTGTTAATATTATATTTAACGTGATGGTATTAAAATATAGATCAAAAGTAATTAATCACTGAAAAAAATTTTGAAATCCATCTATAAATGACTTAGAAATAAATTTGTTTCTTAGGTTTTCACGCACATCACTCATTAAATAAAACTAGTTTTTTTACGGATTAATGCACGAAACTTTATTTATTTATTGAAATTTCGTAGCCTTTAACCTTCCACGAAGGTAGCTCGACAAATTGAATAAAAGTTTTATTCTGACGACGAAGCCTGTAAAGGCTACGAAACGTCAATAAATAAATAAAGTTTCGTGCATTAACCCGTAAAAAAAAACTAGTTTTTGACTTAGAAATAAATTATTGAAGTTTACGAATTTTAGTACGGAACGTCTGTGGTTTCTGATTCGCCTGTGACGTCATTTGACCTATTCAATATCACCGCACCACGAATCATTCAAGTATTAGTTTCCGAGTTGTGCTAGAGTTCTTGCTTCGTTCGTATTTATTTACGTACAGTCGTTTGTTTCTTTTTTATTTATGAGCGTGTAGTTTTTATTTCACTATAATGGATGAAGGCTTCGTCAAAGGGCAAAGTGATAATTTGCCTAATATTGATATATACACAGTAATGGACTTTTTTTCGTCAAATCCGTCTTATGTTAGTGCTGAAATAAAAGGAGTTAAACTTTTTAAGTACATGTGAAGTAACTAACAAATATATTTACATAAAATATATAGTTATTTTTACTGAATAAGTTATTCCGGACCTACTTACGATTCAATAGGTATGTCGATCAGAAATAGGCACCTATTATTAATAGTTACTTACATCAAAATGATCTTCACACACATATTTAGTCCTTTTAGGGCCACTTAAATCACGCTTCATTACCTTGCACCACTTTTTCCTTGTTGTTATATTATTTGATACACGAAAAAAAAAATTATTGTGCTTTGACACATAGGAACAATACAATATTTGTAGGCATTTTTTTTAACTTCTGCCATCGGGTAATAAACAAAATGCGAATCGAACGGCGCAAGCCTAACACAACAATACATTCGTACGTACTCAGCGAATACGTGCTGCGTCGTCTAGGTCAAATGACGTCACACGATGGAGCGCCGCGTGTAATAAAATTATTCTTGCAAGCGCAACTTCAAAGTCCCATAACTTTTTAATTTCTTGAGATATTTTATTAATTCTTTCACGTGTTTGTTTTATTTTACTTAAATTTTTATAATATAGCTATAAAAAAAAGAATACTTCTTCATTAAACGCTCAAACATTATAATAGGGTATTTGACTAGTTTTAGAATACGTTATTAACTAATATTTAGGGAGTCCATAAAAAGGATATTCATCAATCTGTTGTGTATTTCATAAAAAATCTACATTATTTTTCATGCTGTCAAATAGCTGTTGTTGGAACTATGCTCATTCAAATCTCAACAATAACCGCTTTGGTAAAGGTCTCTCTATTTTATTTTTTTAAACTCATAATGTAACAGTTGTTTATGTAAAAACTGTGAAACTGTTCGTATGTGATAAAAAACACTTCTAAAGAATTTATTTGTATATGGACAATAACTAGAGGCAGGAACTGGCGGTGGTCACCCAACCGCAAGCGATCCGCCCCACGGTGTGCTTGACGACCGATATTGAAGGAAAGCAGACTTCTATCTATTATTCTTCTATATATAGACAATAACTAGTGGAAGGTACTGACGGTGGCGATGACGAGGCACAAGTTGTTGAGCAGCAGGGAGTCCATCCAGGGGAAGTCGGCCACCCATCCACAAGCGATACGTCCCACGGTGTTTGTGATCCCGATTATTGATAGAAGGAATGAGGCTTTTCCTGATTCCACGCCCTAAGGACAAAAGAGAAATCAAACATTAAATTGACATCTAAATATATAATAAAATGGTAGGTAAGTCAAAACTGTACATTGAATATTTTTTTAAAAGAATACTTGGGGTGTGATCTACAATCGATACCGAAGCCAAAAATATAGTTTTTAGAATTTTTGTCTTTTTGTCTGTTTATAAAGAAGTCGGGTCAACATATTATCACGAAACTCCACCCCTAAGGGGGTAATACGGGGGTTGGAAGTTTGTATGAAAGTCCTATGTTTTTGAAGTAACAGACTTGAGATTTAACATGTATGCTCTATAGAAGGTGCAGAGGTGTACTAATAATTCTTAGAAATAAACCCCCTTTTGGGGTCAAAAAGTATGTGCAAATAACTAACTCCACGCGTACGAAGTCGCGGGCGGCCGCTAGTAGTTTATATACTTACGTTCATCATGGCAGCGTCGACGATATACACGAATGGCACGTAGAGGCCGGCCATGCCGAATATGTTGGAAACGCCTATCAGCATGAAGGCGGGATCGCGGAGTAAACTGACGTCCAACATAGACGATAGTGCAGACTTGAACGAGTTGGGTAAAGCCAAGCACGGGCATAGGTCGTATTCTGGAAACATATAAAATAGCTGTTTTTATTTTTTAAGCATTTAACTGCTAGATGTTCAAATTTAAAGAAAAGTTTACTAGAAAAAAATCTACGCGGACCAGGCAGCAGACGGAACTCGAACCCACGCCCTTATTTTCTTTAATATTGTTATTAACAATGCAAAAAAAAAGAACGCGAGGCATTTGAAAACCTCAGGTGGCTAGAAATAACAAAATTAAATCATAAGCGATATCGTTTTCCAAAGCAATCCGGTTAGGCGAATGGCCCCCCTGGTCCGCGTGGCATTTTTTCTAGTAAAATTTCCTTCTTTAATGTAAAAATAAATAAATAAGAAACAGTGTCTACAAAACATAAACCATTTAACAACATCAAAAAGATTACAAATATCTATCTAGGTATCTAGTTTGTTCTTACATCCGATACTTAGTTTTCATAGAAACTTTGACGAAGTGATACGATTACGGAGCTGTCAAAATTCGTGCCTGGCTGGACCTCTGGACGTAGTAATGTTAAAATTATAAAAATTGTTATGTATAGGGTTTGTGGCGGGATGTCATCGAGTGCGGTTGGCGTCATATTTTAAATATTCTTTAAATTCGTTCATTGAGGTTATTGTGAAATAAAATTGGTGTGATTTTGTGTTACAATCGTCTGCGCAACTGAAGAATTAATTGAATCTTTAAAATATTCGCTATATCGGTCGAGTGGATGTGAGAACTTTATTGTAGTTTTTTATTGTACTACCTCACAGAAGCTTGTCGAGAAAGCTGACCCGATACATTTCGTGCCAAACACTCCAAGAAACCTTAGAATGCGTCACGCCCACATTCTAATGTAACAAATGGAAGATTGATACAAAAAATAAAGATGACTGCATGGCTTTGCCTTTCCCAATATGGAAGAAAAGAAATAAAAAAAAATATGTATACATATAAAGTGTGACAGTTTTACTCACCTTCTTGCCTCTCCAAGTCGCCAGTTTGCCTACTCTGTGGTAAACTAAGGACCGAATTCCTATAGCCTTGAAGTGACTTCTGGCTTTGGTACTGAGGCAGGTTGAGAACGGAACCGGAATAGAAGATGTCTTTACGGGACATCGGCCGGACCATTCGGGAAGGCTCTTTCGGGCCGGATACGGAAAGCTTGGATGTGTACATCATGCTTTCTGCGTCTCCCTAAAAGAAGGTCATAAATTATAAAAAATGTCGTTATAAACTTTACTTTTATTATTTATTTCTTAGATTTTCACGCATATCACTAATTAAATAAAACGAGTTTCAACGAGTTAGATGCACTGATTTTATTTATTTATTGACTTTTCGCACCCTTTGCAGGAATGCATCGTCTTAATAATGACTACTTTTATTTCCAAAGTAATTCCAACTCTAACTTAGTTAAGGATTAGATAAACATTGTTTGAATTGATATAAACTATTAGATACTTTTGTTTCCACAGTACAGGCTCTGGTTAGTTCTGAACAAAGTAATCATTGTAATAATCCAATAGGCTATTTGACAAGTTTTTAAAATATTCATACCTTATTTATTAGTGTATAGTGACTCCAAAGAAGTGGCTATTTATAATTCTGTTGCGTATAGTAATAAAAAACGAAAATGATATATCTATAAATTGATTTCAAATATACCGCGAAAAACATTTCTCTATCAAATATGGCGTGTTTACAGGTCGGTGATGTCATACGACACTCATTGAAACGTCAAAAAGTACAAAATAATGTCACTTCGTCAAGGTGTTTACAAGCAGGTGACGTCATTTTAGACTCGGCTAATCCAAGGCATTTTCGGTCACGTGATAATATATCAAAACACTGTTTTTCTATTTCATGATTTTTAGTAATATTCTTTAACTACTTTTGACAGAATAGTGCAATCGCTCCCAGTATTTATGTTAAATACACTTGCTATTGTAATAATTGTTACTTTATTTGTGATACTGTCAAATAGCCTATTGTAAGTTATCCGATTTTTTTTGATTTCAAACGTATCACTTTGTTAGCAAACTTTGATTCTCTGCATAACCTCTAATTATTGATGGTATTTCATTCAGTCATTTTACTCAATTTAAATGACAAATCTGGTTCAGAAATATATTTAAAAAAAGAACGTACTCCTTCCTTAAAGGCCGGCATCGCATTTGTGATACTCCTGGTGTTGCAAGTGTCCATGGGCGAAGGTGATCACTTACCATCAGGTGAGCCGTCTGCTCGTATGCCACCTATAACATAAAAAAAAAATCTTGCTACGTTTTTCTTTTATTACATTCAGTCAATACAAGAACTTACATCGTTTCGGTTCATAGAAGCTTTGGACGATGCTTTGATAGCAGCTAAGGACGGTTTGAATCTGTAAAAAGCGCTCAAAATTAACTATCGTAAAATGTGAATAATTACGAGGTAAATAAACAAAATATTTATATTCTGGTTGCACTATGTTATAGTACAGGGTCGAGGAACATTTTGCTTCGTTCTTTTCCTGCTATCGAATATAAAATATATGCTTAATTTACGAGCATGCAGAACGGTCATTTGTAGAGCAGACATTTTATTGACATTAAATATTTGTATAAGTCCTTGGCATTCCCAGATTTCTTTACTACCAGCGGCGGCCCGCAACTTCGTCCGCGTTAACTTTTAGTTTTTTTATTCTAAATAAAAATATTTTTTCTAAAATAAAAGTAGCCTCAGTTACTCCTTATTACATCAGCTACCTGCCAATAAAAGTCCCGTCAAAATCGGTCCAGCCATTTCAGAGATTAGCTGCAACAAACAGACAGACAGAGAAAAATTGTACAAAATGTTATTTTGGTATATGTACCGTATATATATTCATATGCATGTAGTAAAAACCGGTTATTTCAATATTACAAACAGACACTCCAATTTTATTCATATATATAGATTCAAGTGCCCGCGATTTTGTCTGCGTACTTTAAATGGTTTCCTATACAAACGACCACCTTCCTTTCACTCTCTTAACAAATATTTCTGGAATAAAAATAATCTAATGTCCTTTCTTGAGACTCAAACTATATCTGTACCCAATTTCATCCTAATCGTTCAGCTGTTTATGCGTGAAGAGGTAAAAGACAGGCCCCCTTTTTGCATTTAAACTATTAGCATAGACTTCAAAACTGTTCTAACTATACTAACGTAATGTCGACACTAACAAATTAGAGTACATTCAAAACCCGCCCTTATATTAAGACTAGCTGTACCAGCGAACTTCGTAACGCCATAAAAAAATAGGGGTTGGTGGTAGTATGATGTGATGTATCATAAAAAAATAAAAACAAAAAAAATTGTCCGAAAAAAAAAATTAAGTTAATTTAAATTTAAAATTTAATTTAATTTCCCCTTAACATTTAGGGGATGAAAAGTAGATGTTGTCCAATTCTCAGACCTACTGAACATGCCCACAAAATTTCACGAAAATCGGTCGAGCCGTTTCGGAGTAGTTCAATTACGCACATCCTGACACGAGAATTTTATATATTAGAGAGAAGAAGGGCGGGTTTATTTTGCTGTAAGCAGCACAATGAACACGATGCATCTTCCACTAAATCCAGGAGTACAAACAAAATATCCTTCAGTTATAATGGTAATGTCGAATCGATCAAATTAGAGTAAGTACATGCAAAACCCGCCCGTATATCTTACAGCACAGTAAACACGATGCATCTTCCACCAGTCTCCGGAGTACAACCAAAATATTCTTCAGTTAGAATGGTAATAGTGTCGATTCTGGCATGATTCATAAGCCTAAACTAAAATTCAATTTCAGAACAGTGTAACTTTGTCATTATCTATACAGTACCCTTAGTACTAGTTTGAGCTCACGAAACCATCATAGATTTCGTAATTGTAAATTATGTTTCTATGTCCATTTTGATGAAAAGTAACCAAATATACTTAAAATTTAAGTAAAGACAAATGTTTTAACGATAGAATTTAAACACTTTTTATTTGTATCGAAACGAAAACGATAAAATCAGTACCCTTAGTATCATAGTTTTCGTAATAGTAAAACTCGTACTAAGGGTACTGGGTGAAAAGGAAAGACTGATGTCAAATTTTGTTTTAAGTTTAGAGAATCATGTCAGAATTGACGCCATAGTCGATACTAACAAATTAAGAGTTCATGCAGAACCCGCCCTTATATCATAGACTACAGTAAACACGATGCATCTTCCACCAGTCCCGGGAGTACAACCAAAATGTCCTTCAGTTATAATGGTAATGTCGATTCGATCAAATTAGAGTAAATACATGCAAAACCCGCCCTTATATCTTACAGTACAGTAAACACGATGCATCTTCCACCAGTCCCAGGAGTACAACCAAAAATTCCTTCAGTTATAATGGTAATGTCGATTCAATCAAATTAGAGTAAATACATGCAAAACTCGCCCTTATATCTTACAGTACAGTAAACACGATGCATCTTCCACCAGTCCCTGGAGTACAACCAAAATGTCCTTCAGTTATAATGGTAATGTCAATTCGATCAAATTAGAGTAAATACATGTAAAACCCGCTCTTATATCTTACAGTACAGTAAACACGATGCATCTTCCACCAGTCCCGGGAGTCAACCAAAATATCCTTCAATAAAAATGGTAATAGTGTCGATTTAGGCATGATTCTCTTCGCCAAAAATTAAATTTGACAACAGTGTATCCTTGTCATTATCTATACAAGACTAGTGGCCCGCCCTCGCTTCGCTTCGGTGTAGAGCTGTAGTGAAGGTAGACTACAGTTTTTGTTCTCAGGCTTGTATTATACACAGTGAATTTCTTTATATAATTATTTTTCTCACCTTTTAAAACTCCCCTAGACCGACACAAACATGTCAAGACCAAGATAAGATTGAATTTTATATAGATAATAATAATAATAAGATAAAAAGGAGATCTCATGTAAAATTTTGTTTTAAGTGTAGAGAATCATGCCAGAATTGACGCCAAAGTCGATACTAACAAATTAGAATACATGCAGAAACCGCCCGTATATCATACAGTACAGTTTACACGATGCATCTTCCACCAGGCCCAGGAGTCCAAACAAAATGAGGAGCTAGCGAACAAAACGGTATAATTACGCATCTGGAAGAACTACTTTCTTTTTACAGTCCGGAGGTTTTGGGCCCGTAGAATTTGAATTTTAACTCATTCTCAATCAAAACCGCCTAAAACAGTGTTATATTCGTTAAATTTATAAATAAAAAACCATACCAAAAGCTCACTGTAGGTATGTCATATAGTTTTTCTAAAACTCCTGTAAAATTTTATTTTATGAAATTATACCGTTTTGTTCGCAAGCTCCTCAAATGTCCTTCAGTTATAATGGTGATGTAGATTCGATCAAATTAGAGTAAGTACATGCAAAATCCGCCCCTATATCTTACAGTACAGTGAAAACGATGCATCTCCCACCAGGCCCGGCAGCAATGATCAAGTTATTTACTATTTATCTGCGTCTGAGCTAACTTCATTTAGAAGTAGAAAGGCGATATGGAACATTATAGTTTTAATTACATGCAAAATGTCTATGATGAGACGACTGTTTGATTTAAAGTATACAAAAGTTCTTTCGGTTATAAGACTAAGATCCTTAATACCTTCGAGGACACAGGCCCAATGAAAATTAGAGTACATGCAAAACCCGCCCTTATATCTTACAGCACAGTGAACACGATGCATCTTCCACCAGGCCCGGCAGTAATAATCAAGTTGTCCGCTACCTATCTGCATCTGACCTATCTCCGGTGGACTGCTTCCTCTGCCGGTCGAAGAATGGCACAGAACCGTTCTTGGGCAATCCGGGAGCTTGGGAACTGAACGCTGGCGAGGAAACGTTGCGCGACATCTGTTGCTGCGTCGATGTTACCGTCGCTGATCCATTCTGAAAACATTGTGAATGAGAGGTAGATATCAATAAATTAGAAATCAATATATCTTTATTCAAATTGGATGTATGTAACTCTTTTGAATCGTCCAAATTTTTTTTCCTACCACTCGCTATGGATATATTTTTTAGCTGCGGAGAAAAGGGGTCATCCATAAATTACGTCACACGAATTTCATGTCTTTTTTGCCCCTCCCCCCGTCCTTGTCACAGCTGGTCACATTTGTAAGACTCCCCCCCTCCCTAGTGTGACGTCACATATTTTGCAAATTTACATTTAGAAATCATTGAATGAAAACAGCGGTTCTGTAATCAGTTTTATTTCCATTTAAATTGTTTTTTCATTATTATTATAATTAAATCAAACAATTAACAAAACAAAAAAATTACCGAACAAAAAGTGATTGACTATGTTAATTAAAGAAATTAACAAAACATAAAATATTAATAGCATTATAATTAAATTAAAGATACAAACTTAATAATCTTGAGTCATTGATCCCACTCCTTTAAATTATTTATAACTGGCATAGCACCACTTTGTTCTCGTTTGGGTTGTTAATGCTTTCGTAAAGTAATAGTTTCAACACTTAGATTTTAATATATTTTGAAATGTGACGTCACGAAATTTAGGACCCCTCCCACCTCTTGTCACACGATGTCACATTTCGTCGACCCCCTCCCTACCCCTTAAAGTGTGACGTAATTTATGGATGGCCCCAAAACGAGCGCAATACTTCACAACATTAAAAGTATAATGTAGTAACGTTTACAAATCATTATGTTGTTAGAACGTCAATACAATCATGATTTATTTAATATAGAAAACCTGTTGGAATGATTGGAACAGTTCAAAGAAAAAAGCGAAAAGCGTAGTAGGGGAGCCCAAGTGGGGATTTTGGGATTTACAAAGAAATATGTAGATAAAAAAAGAAAATATGTTAAAAATGAGTTACCTAAAAAATCCTGGACAGACTATTTTTAATTAATTTAAAAAAGAAAATATTTTTAATGAAATGTTGCAACATCAAGCCAATAAGAAAATTTTGTCTTGGCTTATAATATAATACGTATAAAACATGCAGCCGTTGGGTTTTCTATTATTTACCTGGGCAAACTACTGGGTTGCCAGGTATAAACAGGTATGTCGATGCCAGTTACGTTGCCCAACGGCTGCACATTCTATACGTTATATACTTTAAGTCAGGACAACATTTTCTTATTATCTTATTTATTTTTACTTCATTGCAAAAAACAGCAAATGGCGGACTTAATGCCATATTAGGCATTCTCTACCAGTCGATCAGTAAGAGAGTGAGAAAGAAAAATATGGGGGTGCAATAAGGACATAAGTAGACTTGCAACGAATATTTGGTTACTATTCGGTATTCGGCCTATTCGGCTGCTTTTATTATATTCGGCCGAATACCGAATACTTAAATGATATATTTTGTCATAGAGAAATAATTGGTAAAATGAAAAATTAAAATCGATTGATTACGTATATATTCATATTTTCATTTCTGTTATATAATCATTTAAGTAGTCATTGGTACATAATCATCTTCTGAATTGGAAAAATGGAGGATTCTATGTATTTGAATTATTGTGGTAATCAAAATTTAGAAGGGTAAGGTTATGATTTCTTTTATAATCATTTATTAAGTAGTCATTGGTACATAAAACAGGTACATAATTTAATCATTTTCTGTATTAAACAAGTTAACAGTTTTTAATTCATTCAGTCATGTGATGAATGGTTACATAATAGCAATAATTTAAAGTTTACGCGCCGTTTTTGGCCATATCTCAAAAGTTGGTTTTGTCATTGAGCCGCATTTTAGCTTGAGGACGGCAGATTAGAACAAAACAAAGGAGCGCGAAACAATCATGTCTGTACAAGGCGCTAAAATCCAGCCGAATACTTGTACCTAATATTCGGCTATTCAGTCAGGGGCCTCGCCGAATATTCGGTATACTGCCGAATATACTATTCGTTGCAAGTCTAATTAAAAGTAGTCTGTCCAGGATTTTTTAGGCAACCCATTTTTAATATATTTTCTCATATACTAAATTCATGATAAAATATGTTTCATTTCATTATCAGCTCGGTGAAGGTCGATGTAGGTCGGATCTTCTACTAATAGTAATGATATACTTACATTTACCTTCTTCTCAGCGGTCTCATCAGGCACTTTAGCTTCAGTGATAGTGGGTAAAGTAGGCACCGTGGGCACGCCCGGCATATTTGGCACAGTGGGTACCCGCGCTAACGCTTCTAAGTTAAGCGACGAGTGAACACCCGGGTCTATGTTCAGGGGAGCCTGCAATCGGTGCACTTCTATACCATATTGATCCTTAATAACAGTTTACATAAGAATCATAATCCTGGGTAATATGAAATTTAAATAACAAAGCTCTATACCATATTCTAGAAAACGATCAAATTGCAATATTAGAAGATTTTAAGAATTTAAATTAGTGTTCTATACCATATTGAGCCTTATAAACAGTTGAGATAACGATTAAATTCTTTTGTAGTGTTATATTAAACATTAAAAGAATTTAAATTACTGTGCCAGACATGGCTTTTAAAGTGTCATTAGAACGATATTTAAACATGTTGTAAATACACTTTTAAGTGATATCATAAGGGATTGTTAACGCATTAATAGAGTTCAATAGTGATCATTACGACATTATCGTGAACTGGAATTAACTCTTTACTGTAATAAACTGATAAATTATTTAGTAAATCAACAAAGACAATGAATAAACTTGCGGATTGTGATTTATGCATTTCATTTTTCTCCATGCTTTCAGTTTAGTGTTTTAAAAGTGTCGTGCAAGTTGTTTTAAATGTTATGGTTAAAGAAATTTAATATCTTGGACTTAAACAGCATATCAGCATACTATGAGGACATATAGTGATTATTTATTGATGAATAATGACTAATTGTAATGACTAATGAGAGGGGCAAATGCAGTCATGATCAAGGCGAGACATAATAACAAAAGTATCATGAGCACGTGTGAAAAGCACAACTGTAATTATTAGGTACCGTATACTTATATTGTTATTGAAAAACATTTTTTAATAAATCTATCAGCAATCCATAAAAAAGCATGATAATGGCAGTTGTGACAAGTTCGGTAAATAACATAAAAATGAATAAAACATGACCACACTGTTACATCAATGACAAAATCATCTAACCTTCGCTTTATCCGTGTTGATTAAACGAGTCAATCTATATTTGTAACTGTTGTGCACATCACTGAAAGATTCATTTAGTGCAAACAACTACACATGACTCACGATTTGGTAGTGTTTTGTATGTCCTAATTATAATCACAAGATTTCAAAGTTGTTAAACTAACCCGGCAGGAATACGACGTTGCTTTTCTTCTTGTATGTTTTCATACCTTCATTCTTTTTTCCATGGTGCCATCTGGTAGTTGGACCATGAAGTATGAGCCTCCTATAGATCCCCGTTCCATTTGCAGTCTTTTCTCTTCAGCCATACGTTGCAGAAGTGGTTTTTCACCTGATGTCTGGAATATATGGGCAACTAATTGAACTACCTACTGGGGAATATATGAAGAACTAGAAAAGATTTAAAACGTTGTTTCTAGTATGCTACTAGTAGGTACGTTATACGATTAAATTGTGTTGAAAGTACTACATTTACATATCGGAGACTAGAGATACAGGATTGATTTCCTATTTTAAACAATGTGGTAGATCAAATAACACAGCTAAAAACATTATGAAATTATGAGCTACTAAATAGTGTCAGTTTTGCACGTAACTAATGCCCATATGCGCAAAATTACTAACAATTAACACAAAGTCTGCGGCATACGTTGCTTTTGTTCTCCACCAGTCCACCAGAGTTCTATTAATGAGATTACAATTGTATTATAAACATCATGCACATACATAGGAACAGTACACCCACAATAAGCCGAAACGTTTGAATAGACCGAATGAAGGATGAGACCCAAAGCTGACATAACCAGATTATTATAGTGTTTGTTAAGTATGAGATATTTACCTTGGGGTAGACCAAAGGCCTCATTAAAGCGCCGAAAACGGCACAGTTGAGTATCAAGCCAGCAAGCAGTAGATTTGCGTTTTGCCATGATCCGAATTCGTTTAAAAGGATTGAAGCGAGTGGCGCAAAGCTGAATGTGCCGACTCCCGAGCCGCACACCGCTATGCCAGTAGCAAGAGATCGTCTCGTTTCGAAGTAGTAACCCACTGCAACCACTGAAGGCAAGTATATCATACCGAAACCTATACCTGGAAAAATAAATAAAAGATATTTACAGTACATGCTAACGTGTACGACCTAAATATAAGCATTAGTTTTATACTATCGTACTGAGTCAACTGAACTATTTCCTCCCTCTTGATAAATAAAAAAATATTCGGTATTTACACCGAAAAATATTGTCAAATACCTACATCCTAAGCTGCCTAAAGTCTTTACTATGGATATAAAATTTGGACTGAATATTGCTAAAAGGTTAAGGCCGAGATTTCAATAAGTTTTAATGGTTGTTGTTTCTTTTTGAATGAAAATTTATTTTATCATTGTTGTTATCGAAATAACAGTATATTGCCACATAAAAAACTGTCTTTAATAGCTCAAACAACATTTCCAAATGTGCTTTTACTTAACTTTTTAATTATAATACAACTTCAGCTAAAAATTGAAGATTCATTTACACTCTATCCCTGAAATAAGGTTAGATAGAGGTCGTGATTCTGCTACTTTTTTAGTATTCATGAGGTGAAGGAACCTTCATTCAAATCAAAGCACATTCAAGACGCCTGTACAAATTAACAGGCTATTCATGTAACCCAAAGTCTGGCTGCGAAATTAGATGTTCCTTTGGCCAATTTGTGATAGAAATTCCTGTACGGCCAGCTTCCTAATAACACGCTAATGAAAAAGAGGAAGCGTCATCATAATTCAGACCGCGACCTCGACATCAATCATACCATCATGAACGCATTGTTGAACACTTAGTGGTGGTATAGAGAACAACTAACATATAATTAACCGTGTCAAGCGCAAATTACAAAGCGTATAAATATTAATTTACGGTTAACAGTATGAGAATAAACATAATATAGGTATAAAACAGATTTAAATATCTAGTATTCTCGTTTCTAACTTACCCGTACCCTTAGCACGAACTTTGACAGATTAGTACCGCCAACGTCAGTTATTATGGAAAAGGCAGCGCCCCTACTGGACGTAAGAACAAACTGGCTGTTTCCATACAAAATCTGATGATGACAATATGATTACGGAGCTGTCAAAATTCTTGCTTGGGCCCTAGCTCTTCAGACTGTAGACAACGTACAAAACTATGAACGAGACGTGACGTGACTCTTTCAATAAAAATTTAAATTTTTTTTTTTCTCTCAATGGTTAACTTGTTGATTGTGTCTAAATTGACCATATTTTATAGATTTATAGTATAATGATAATTAATATATTTGTGATTTCGGAAACAACCGAATAAACAAATTATCAAACTATTTTTTTTAAATTTATCTATGTTATAACGTTAAATTTGTATACGTTGTCCACGTATTAAAGGAAAACTTTCAAAATGCCCTAAAACGAGTAAATAAATGAACCCACATACATAATAAAATTAATAATATAGAAATATGATACGAAATGAGTCAGCCAGTTGTCGGCCCACAAATCGGTATTTGAAACCCACAAAGAACACAAAGGAGCATATGGACTGTTTTGTTGCGAAGAGTTCGTCGGCATTAATTTCACAGCAATGCGTCACTTTCCGGCACATAGTCCCATTTCAGATCAAACATTTACATGTCAATTAACAAACAATGATTAAACGAGCTACTGACTCGATTAATTTGCGGTCATTTAGCCGTAATGATGAGCGCAAACACCTTTCTGTTACACTATGATCTAATAAGTTTTCCTATTAATTTTCAGTATAATAAATCCAACTTAGTTTTGTTATAATATTTTATTACGGAAACGTTTTATTAAGAATAACTAATAAAAACATTTTTTTTCCACCTCAACAACCTACTGTATGAAACCGTTATCGAACTAAATAACGAAAAGTTCTCGTTTAAACTTTGTCATGAGAGAAAAACGTCTAACTAATTGGGTAGATTTTTGATTGACCCACATCGAAGTCTGGCTTGCGGCGATAACGTAAACCTGACCCACATTTTAAGAGGATCGCCAACCATTGGGCAACGTTCTTTAATTTCAAGTGAGTATCGTGTTAAATAGTGACGTCACAATCAAATGATCTGTCAACTTCAGTTACAAAAGGAAATGAAAATTCAGTTATATATGAGGTGTTTAAATAAGAAATATAATCTTTTAGAAATATTACTGTAATTGAGTCACTGATGAGTCGTTGATTTCCCTCTTAAAAATTATTCTGAGGAAATTACTACATTTCATCAACCTCTAGTAAAAGTTAAGAATTAATCTGGTTCCGTTGCTTTAGCGAAAGTTGCTATTCAGGTTCGTTGCCTAGATATTATTATTATTATTAAGACTATAATAATACCTTTTGCTAAGAAACGGAACCAGAATATCCTTACCTTTTACTGGAGGTTGATGAAACTGCCCGTTAGTCATTTTAGGCCTTAACTATAACTTCAGACTTGTCAAGCTTAATTAAAACATTAGGTGCGCTAAGTCGTGCAAACAAAATTGTTTGTCACGTGCAATTTAAATAATAATAAACACTAATAGGTAAGTACCTACTACATAGAAACAGTTCAAAATTAAGATAAATCGTTTAACAATATCCACTATTGAGATTTAAATGTCCACCTTCACGGAGAAGATGTGATACACCAAGGTTGTTCGACGTCCCGATTAAATGTATCGCGCGGGACAGGCTCAATCCCGCTTTTCGGGAATAACTCGACCGTGCGTGCAGCGTACTAAGAAAGCGCGGGCGGGTGGCACAGGCAAGTGTGGACTGGCCATCTGCCTGGCGCGTAATGAAGAACTCTCAAACAAAGACTCATCTATTTAACGATAGGGTATATCTGATTTAAAATATCATATTTTTATTGAAATACTTTTTCTATGGATAGTTTTACTAGGTGCCTATCTTTTGTCACGTAAACGTAATTTGAACTCTAATAAATAACTTTTGAATATTTATCATATTCAAAAACTTTGATTATGTAGCGAAAGCGGGAGCTTTCAACGAAAGAATCCCGCTTTTTTCACTCAAAAAGTCCTAAATCCAGCTTGGCAAAAAAAAACTGGCAACGCTGTGCCACCACACATGTTAAACTGGCTAAATCCACCATTAGCCTATGCGTTTGTCATAATGATCCCTAATGAGGAATATGGATGGACATAGATGTGGGATATGTGGGTTTACTGTTTTGCCGATGACTATATTACCTACTAATTTTTTTTCGATATTTTAATGAGACAGTTCAGTATTAAAACGTAAGATACAAGAATATCAAAAAAAAAACAAAGAATAATGGAAATTATTTATCAGACAGAATGACAAATGGGCGTAAAGATGTTGCTATACGATATTACAAAAAAATACGATAGAATGCAAAACAAATAAGACACAAAATAACTTTTCTAATGTTGTCATACTTTGGGTATTTGTTTACAGACAAAACCCAATTATTTGCGACAATTGGTAACATTATTGATTTCATACAAAATAATGACGCCTTTCTTGACCTGAATTGATTAATGGCTAAAAAAATGATAAATTATGTTAAGTTTGAAATAGTCTACTTTAACAAAACCATATATACGCGAAGAAGATTTATAGAAATTTAAATTACAATCAGTCTGTAAGAGGCTGCAAGACTTGTATACTAGTATTGCACCTAAATAAAAACGCTGATGGTCCAATAGTTTGACCTCTCACGAAGCGTTAATAATGAACTATGTTCAAAGTCTGAGAATGGTATCATATGATTTTCTCGGCGAGTGACTCTAAAATTTTCCACGCAAAGGAAACGTGGCGTTTCAAATTGTCTCAACTTGACATTGATGTTCGATGATTTAACATTGCCAATAGGTGTCTGTCGACGAGTTGCGCTGAACACGCTAATGAGATGAAAATAACAAAATTACAAAATCAACATGGAACGTTTCTCAGTTGTGCTGGAACGATTTTAAATATCTGCTTAGCGACTATTGAGAATTATATAAAATTTATCTTAATTTAGTCCTCACGATTTTTTTTCGAATGTTGTCAAATGATTATTATACATTTACATTGAAAACATTTTAGTTGTTAGAAGATGTAATAATTTAGCTTGGTTAAATCACAGCATAAGAATGGAACAATCGTAACGAGAAGTTTCTGTGGTAGCAGTCATGAGTAGTGGCCTTGGTCAATATACCTAATGATTTGTCACTAGCTCTCTGAATAGTGCAACAGTTTGTAGAAATAAGGGGGTGAAGGGAGTCCAATAAGTGTTAAGGTACGCAAGTGAGGCGCCATCGTGTCTACGCTCACTGGCGATATGCCAGGCTCGACGACCTTCAGATTAGTTCGCCTATAAAATACGAATTCTTATACCTAGTTATCCGCAAATTAATAAAGGCATTGCATTAATACTTAAGTAATGAGGATCCGTAACGATTTTAGTTGAGAATGTAGATTTATAGAGCTAATGATTCCGTAAAATACAGTAGTTAAATTGTTGTTCTACGACAAATATTGACGAAGTTATGACCAAATTACTAAACAATTTTCGGCAGGCCGCGTGATGGCTGTGACGTCATAGAGCTCTAGAGCTCGGGGGCGAGCGTGCGTAGAGACGCTACTGAAGTTTGACTGGAGTGAACCACGATCGAACTCTGTGACGTCACACGTTTTGGCCGCCGGTGAATATTGGCCACCATAAAATAGCAACGAATGAACCGATTTCTATGATTTAAAAAATATATTAATTAAATTCATCTTTAGATTATCATACTGTTGATTTTGAGTTGATTTGCTGACCTAGTATTGATCCTCATTGGCGCAAGTGATCTCAATCGTTCATATGTTATGTTCTCTTGTTAGTTTTAACATTAAAGCTACGAAGTCTTGATTGTGCAAAACTTTTCAGCTAAACATACATTATATAGTTAAACATGTTGGGTGAACGCAGCAAAGGACAATAGCTGAACCAAGCTAAATTCAAAGAGACAAGTAACACAAACAAAAGTGTGTTACTAAGTAAAACAGACTCCATGTAAAATTTTCCGAGCGAATGTGTCTGAATGTTAATTTTGAAAACCTCATATTTAAAGAATAAAGAAAGTTAATTCTAACTGAAAAGTTTTTATAGCAGCGGCCCATAGAAGACATGGTACTAAAAATTAACGTGTCTTGTATGAACCGCAACAAACACAAAAGGCGAAGAACCTGTCTTTCGTGAATATTTCCTCTCTCTCTTAATGAAATTTTAAGAACTCGATAACTACTAGATTCTTTAAACAATATTTTTTGGGCAAATCCAACAAGAGTAAGGTGTTTGTCCAACCTTTTGTCTGCTTTGTCGTGCGTGAGCCGCTTGCTTGGTCTAGTCTACGTAAATGCATAATTTAAATTGCTCGGACAAAGTTGCGTTCCGGGAACGAATGGTCAAATTGTAAGAGTGAGTAAATTAAAATTTTTGGTAATACAACAATACCTAATTCGCTTTGTCTGCTGTTATTGTGTGTTTGTTCTTCGTAAATGCATTACATTTTTCGAACAAAAGACAAAAACAAGACAACAAAGATCGGGATTTTCAACTTAAGTACTTAGTCAATTCAATTCTGAGAGTGAGGCAAAATTATTTTTTGGAGATCCAACAAGATCCAATCGCTTTGTCTGCTGCTGTCGTGCGTGAGTAAAAATATGCTTGTTTGGTCTAGTCTACGTAAATGCATAATTAAAATTACTCGGACAAAGCTATTTTCCGGGAACCAATGGGGTTTTCCACTGTAATCGGTCCAATTGTAAGAAGGGCTCATCGTTTCCGAGTCGAGAGCGTCATGCGCCGTTTCGTTGCCGTTTTGTTTCACTCATGTTGGCATTCGTCCAATTTCACACGCGATATATTGATGTAGCTTGAACGTTTGCAGTGAACAAAACCGATTGATATTAAGTACCTATGTTTTTTTTCTTTTATTCGATTTTAAATTGGGTAATTAATATCTACATCAATGGAAAGTAATGAACATTGAATTGAAATAGCATCACTATCAAAACGAACAGAAGAATACGACAATTTGCGCATTTTACAAAGAAATTGTAAGTTGTTCCAAGATTTATGTTAATAAGGCATAACTCAATTTATTATCGTGAGATAACTTAAAAATCAAATTAATAAAGTTAAAATATGGCAAAAAATAAAGACAAGAGAAATTAAAATGGAAACTAAAAAATTAGTATAAAAAATATTAGAATGAAATTCTTCTTTAGATTTATAATATTTTTAATGTGCGAGTGTGACCTAAAATATGATTAACCGTTGAATCAAATAAAAGATGATGCGTGATAATGATAAGAAAGTAATTATAAAATGTTCACTGAAAGATCAAACCAAACTTTCAAGGACATTCATGCCATGGACCATCCTCGTCGCGTCGACGCCAAGTCGGACAACATTTATGCCAATGTGCCAAGGTTACTGGCAGCGAGGCTCGTATACATAATCTCGCATTTATCGACGTTATGGTTCATTCCAATAGTTTATAGGCTACGGTCATATTATTATTAGTAGGTATTTAACCACACATTTTCCCCCTTTTAAACGAAGAATAATCCTAGAGTATTTACACCGTGTTTTGTACATACCACTCAAATGCCATTTGCCATTTAATGAACAGATACAAAACATAGAGTACCTAACTAATCAATGCTTATTCTTCGTTTATTAATTTGGGGGTATATAGAAGTATAACAATTATGTCATTAAAAAAATACTAAGTACCCATTGCATGAATGTGAAAAATATACTATTTTTAACTAATTTTTATAGTTACTATTGGAAATTAAAAGTACTGAAACAAGCGTATGCAAACGAAACTTTTGCACGCGGTAACTTACTAACAGATAAAATAATGATTGCCTACGGCACAATTTTTATTCAAAAAAACCTCAATAATATAATTGTGTGTTTCATTTCAACGAACATTTGCTCCAAACAATTTAAGAGCGGCTAAAAATAAAGTTGATAAGTCAATATCAATTAGAACGCTTCTTTAATTCGATTTTACTTTTGAGTGAAGTGCTTAAATCCTACCATGCTTAGTTTACGACCTACGATAACAACAATAAAATTAAGTAGTCACAGATATAAATAACACAATGATTCATACACAGTAAAACACAATCTAGTTAGAAAAAAATTGCTCAAAAATACAACCTCACTTGTTTTCGTGATCAAAGCTCGGGTCAACGGATTACTGTGGTATTATTCTAAACCACAACAAAAAATAACTTTGTTTTTGTTTGGCATGATTTCGATACAAGGCTATCGAATCTATAATTAGGTAGATCGATGAAATTCTTAAATATATTATTATATTTATTTAGCATTTAACTGCTAGATGTTTACATACAAAGAAAAACTAGACATTTTATTTAGTTAATAGCTTGATTATATTAAATTATTAGTAATTTTTATTTGAAATCTGCACAAGACCTGATTCTGTTTACTCGTTACCATTCTACCAGTGAAGTCACTATTATTATCTAGGTATATGCGAGTGGTTAGAATGCAAAATATATATTTGCCTACGACATTTCTATTAAGTCACTATGATGTAATCGAGTCATCTATTAGGCTGCATAATTTATTCGAGTAAAAACAAGAAGTATCTTGTTATTCAATTCAGTTTTAAGTATAAAAACTGACCTGAACATACGCTGTCTGTTAGTAAGATACTTAATAGACGTAAAATTACCTCCTAATAAGCCGTATGTGATCATCATGACCGTGACACTCTTGCTGAAAGTAGAGAGGACGAACGCTGTGGTGGCAACTAGAGACCCGGCGATACACACAGCGCGACACCCGAACTTGTTGCATAGTGCTGACACTATCGGACCTGTAGAAAACAAAAATAAACGTTAGAACAGCTCACGTTGCACCTAATGGTAAAGGATGAATCGGGCTATGATGAAATACTCTTAAACAAGAAGAAACAGATTCACTCTACATTTGCACTGCACAACATGTTAGCACTGCCTCAGTTGATGTTAGTATGACGTTTCATCCATCATTTTGCTGGCATGAATTCAATCCAATACACTGTGGAACCTAAGTCCACAACAGAACTCCACCAAAAGAAGGAATTATTTTTGTGTGGTGTCTTCTGTAAAGTGGAGGTTTTTACCCCAGACAGGCTTGATTCGAACAATAAATACGCACTGCCTTACTTATACTCCTAAGTATCGAAGTATCAAGAAACGTAACACATGCAATGAATTCGACGGCCGTGAATTCCCATAATTCAAAATGAAACAGAGAACTTGATGCAAATCCCTTGAATTAACACATTAAAATGGTCGAAATGATGCTGATACTCTACTTTTCGCAAATGATACAAAAACTCATTTAATTGAAGTGAAATGTTAAATCTCAATTTTAAAAAAATCAACAAAGGAAACTCCCATGAAATAAGCGAATGTTAATAACTTGTTGATGGATGGACCACAATTAACACCACTTAACCACCAAACCAACTAAGCTCTGAAAATTTCTTTGCATTTAAGTACATCTGCACCTACCAGCCCTTCAAAAGTTTGCATAACTGCGCATGTCTAATAAGGATGATAGATGTGAAATGATAAACTTATCAACCGTGATGGATTATCTCGAATATTCAGGAAGTTACGCACCTAATTGTAAGGATTTTATATTGACCAGAGTGTATCAGATATCTACTCTTCTTTATCAGATTGTCCGAAATATAAATAAAACAGAAAAATTTTATTGTATCTTAGTATGTACGAAGAGTTATCTAAGATAATTGAATGATTTAAGCAGCAGGCACTTCATTAGCTACAAGAAAACACTATGTCCTATACTACTTTTGTTGTTATCTACCTCGTTTTTCACAAAACATGAATATGGCGAAAGTTATCGAAAAGCAATTTTAAACATAATTAAAGACACAGATTGACTAAATAAAAACATTTATCATGTTTTCCCCTTTACATGTTATATCGCAAATTTAACTTTACGCGAAAATACGAACATTCCTTTGTGTGTCAACGATTTTGCAATACCTCGCGTAAAGGCTATTTTATTGAGGTTTTAGTATTTAAATGAAGGTGAACTTCAGAAAAACGTGGTAATGTATTTAAACTATATTCATTTTGACCCATGTTCGGTTTATGGCAGTCGATAATAATGTGTAAAATTAATGCAAACATATACATTTGGATTAGTGACTGATATAACATTTAATAAGTTACTTCTTTTAGTTATTATCTACGATGATTATCTCAATTGGGTTATTGTCAATAAAATTGTCATTGAAGAGCTGATGAAATGCCAGCCATCCAACAATATTTTTCTAATTTAAAATTCTAAAGATAACAAGTTGGCATGAAAAGCTAATTGAACCGAACATAGTTTTTCCAATAAATAACCAGTATGTAGGTATTGCAGCAGCAATAAATTATAGTATTTCAATAAATTATACACAGAATCACCTTGTCCTAAACCTACAAACAGGTGTATTAGTTAATAGAGTAGGTAAATTACAACTATATCTGAACTCGAAAAATTAGTATTGTATCTGCATTATATTTAAGCAACAATATCTCTGGCACCTAATTCTGTAATTTTTACTCCTTATGTGACCCCACAGAACACAGATTTCATGCAAGGAAAGAGGTTAGTTTATGTAACGTTGACACACTTGCTTTAAATTACAGGGAATGCGGGGAGAGGTAAAAGGCAATTCATCTTGAGGTTTTGCTAAATACATTGTTATAATTATAAATAATAAAATAATGCTACATAATTGAAGCACTATTTACTTTGTAGTCGAATGCAAGACACAGTAGAATTAAAACTCTTCTTGCTTTGTAATTAGAAACAAATTCAGCAAATTTCTTCTTTAATCTTTACTCTTTTAGGTGACATCATTCAATTATTTATTTATGTTAGTTAGAGGACTCAATACTAATGACCCTTGTTAATTACCATCACTCGTGTAACACACAATAAATGGAATCATTTGAAATTTAAATACTGGATTATAGTTAACCAGTTCAAGGAATAAATGCATGTTCTGCAACTACGAAGTACATTAAAACATAGCACGTTTTATAGGCTTCTGCAACTCTACCTGGATTCTTGTTTCATTTAATATAAATTGCCTGGCAAGAATTTTTTATCTGACAACCTCACTTTGTGTCAGCGAACTTAATAAAAAACAAGTACAAAAAGTAATTAAGTATAGTTGGGGGATCGTACTGTGTATCCATCTGAAGACTGTGTTAGATCTTCAATATATTGACAAAACATGGTAAAAAGTAGTAAAAGAAGGCTTTCAGGAATTCCCCCCCTGGTCCCATCCTTTAATTGTGACGGGCCTTAAAGGATGATTTCTGAAATAAAAGCTTTCCTATATCCTGTCCCAGGACTCAAATTATCTATTAATTAACATAAATTCATCTAAACGGGGTTTAGCTGTTTAAGCGTGAAGAAGTAACAGACAGGCACACACTAGGTACCTATTAAAATCTATATTTTTATATTACAATGTTTTCATCTTATCAGCATCCTACCACGGAATTTTGAGAGAAATGACAGAATATTGCATATCTTATTATCATATAATACACTTCACAGTGATAGCACCTATAAGGAGCATTAACAGATACAATAACCTCTTCGGATGTGTCTCAAATACCAAACAATAACTATTAGATATCACCTAGGTTATTATGTCGGGTCTTCGGTATAATGATAAGTGCAGTGGCTATTATATGCGTGTTTGATCGTGCTTCATTGTTTACTAACTCAAGACTTATCGCTACTTAATATGTAGGTCTGGTAACAATTAAAAAAAATGGTGACGGAAATTTTAAACTATTTTGTATCATTTTGGATAAAATAATAAAAATAAAACTGACAATAAGTTTGTTTAATTAGTAAATTGAAGCCATTAAAATCTGTCTAAAATTTACTATCTGAATCCATTATACTAAAAAATTTAAGAGTAATCTATACATATTCCTAAGGGTTATAGTCTCCTTAGAAAGACTATTAGTTGCAAATATCAGTACAGATAATATCAGTCTTAAGTAGGTAATAGAACAAAGATTTTATCATTGCACGTAATGTACGTCCCCTGTGTCAGTGATTTGCACATCATCAATGAAAATATTATAATGATATAATATATATGAATATAGAATGACTAAATTTTGTGATAAAAAATAATTCAAATGGCGCGCCATCTTCAGTGATGCCAATCGATAAATTTAATCAGGTCAATTAGCATTTAGATAAAAGTTGAGTAGAATGTAATTGTGATAAGACATATTGTGAGGTTGTTAAGGTAAAACAAGTTACCATGCGGCGTGAATAGTTAAGAGGGATTATAGATAATTATCTGTTTACGCTTAGCAATACATCCAATCTTAATCTTATCTTACAAATAAAACCGTTTAAATACACGGACAGACGTACATATTATTTAAAGTTTTATGATTAGATTATATTATTCAAGAGGAACATTATTTCAAACATCCTACTGTAATTATACTTAGCGCTGTAAATTGGATATGTGTACATACTTCGAAAGATTGCCTATAATCGATCATTGTGACATCAAAGTACGAACGTTTCTAGCGCTCTATGTAATAAAAACAAAAAAGAAAAGATTCCTTTTTTAATCAATCAAAATATCTCCAACAAATGAAAGTTTCATATCTTATTTGTATCAGCTATCTATAAAGTTAAAATTGAATTTAACATTTGTCCAAGTACTGTGTTGTCTTATTCTATTGCTATCATAAATATTTATATGAATATTATTAATCTGACATTGCTATCGGAAAGAAACTGGCAGCATCAACTTCAATCAAACTTAAAGGATAACTGAATTCTCTAAGTGCGGGCGTTGACATATACTGGACTATTGGGACGTAAGTATAATAGCAAAAGGAGCTGGTGTCAAATTACATTTACATGCATATTCTTATACAGGCAATACCATATAAAGTAAGTAGTTAAACATACATTATTCATACGGATAATAATAACATAAACAAAGTGAACCTTACGATAGGAACATTTGGAATAGATCACGTTGCCCCTAACAATAACGAAATCGTTAATGAAGCAATAACACGATAGGGAGTACGTATGTTATAAGCATAAATAAAAGAATAAAGCAATGAAAAGTGTACATTTGAATGGAATTTAAGATTTGTTTTACTGCACTAAGTTTCGAGTTAAATTAAAGAACAATGGAATGCCCTAATTATAAGTTTATAGAAAATCACGCTTGTTTTAAAGAGGTATACAGGCTGATACAGAAGCTTCCCTTACTACGATTCCAGATTCTATAGAAGTATCAATTCATCAACATTTATCAAATCCGCGAAGAGGGATGCAGCCCGAGTTGTATTTAAGATAGGGAATCGGTAATTACAAGTAGGGCATAAGCAGGAGCATGTGCCGACCTTCGCAGCCTGCCACTCGTTTTAGGCTAGGCCATTGCCCTGTAATGCATGGCTACGGCCCTGTCCGCAAATACGTAGGTCACTAAGTTTTGTCGTATGCGAAATAAATGTAAGATATTGTTTAGTTGAGGGTAGATTTATAAAGGCAAACTAATATAAAGGCAATATTAAACATGACTGAATTTACTCGTCGGGGTATTCGTGTAAAAATGTTATATAATTTCAAGCGTGGCTTGACAGTGTTTTGACGAAATGAGTGGTGCATAAGAACAAACGTGTCCTTCCCCAAGGATTATAGAAGATGGTTTATTCAGTTTAATCGCGGGAATTTTAGCTTGGAGGACGATTCGAGGCCGGGTAGGCCAATAGAGGTAACTACCGATAGAAACATTAAGGCAACGCGAAAACAACTGGTAATAGTACCTACAAAATTTATGTAGGGACCTACGTATAGTAAATATTACTAATCAACTCACCAGCCGCTAAGTAAACTCCTGACAGAAGACTGCCAACCCATGCTACCGTGCCTTTCCCTTCTCCGAAGTACGTGACCAGCTCCGGGAGGAATATTCCGAATGTGTAGGCGATGCCGTCAACGACGAGGTTGCACATGAAGGAGGCGAACACCACCACCCAGCCATAACCACCGTCGGGTGGCGGCGGCAGGGCCCCATAATCGAACGCCTCATCATCGTCGTCAGCCGCTGCGCCTTCGGCTGTCAACCGCGCTGCCTCTTCGCATGAAGTTTCGCTTTCAGTCTGTAAGGAAGCATAATAATTGAATTGTAGAAGTTACAAGATAAGTGATGTAGCGTCACTAAGGGCGTTCTATCGTCTATACCACGGCGAGTGTTCTGAGGAGTTATTCTCTCTTATTCCACCTTCCCCTTTCCTTCAGAGGACCACGCGCGCTGGCTTACTCTGTCACCGTCTAACTGTGGCCACAATTCCAACGCGTACAAAGAAATTTGGTGACTCATTTCTTTGTCGCACTATCCGTAAATGGAATGCTCTGCCCGCTCACGTGTTCCCTCCCTCTTACAACCTGGGATCCTTCAAAAGAGGCGTGAAGAAGCAAAACGCAGGCCGGCAGGGTGAGAATGGCTGGTGTGGCAGGTAGAACTGCTGTATCAGCTTCACCTTCACTTAACATCAGGTAAGGTGCGGTGGAATAACTTGCTGGGCTTTGTTTAAAACATCGGAACTCTAAAAATGCACAAGGTATAATAGCTACGGTACAATGTGAAGGTATTTTATAAATTACAATTTCTTCAACTTAAATCCGTATCTCAGGAAGGAAAGTAATGGGACAATTTTTGTTGATACTTGCATATTTTTTTAATTTGTCAAATCTATTTTCACCATTTAAGCAACGTGTTAGTTTTGTCATTTACACAGATTTTTTGCACCTTGTGCCTTTCTTCTTCAAGATACAAAAAGAGTTCTTTTTCGTCACTTAAATCTAAATAACATTTTAAGACAAATTAATATTTGGAGTCGATGTCATGCTTGTCTGATAAATTAAATATGAGTTCTCATTTACGACGTTAATCATTGTATCCTATTAACATTAAAATGAAGTGTGGTGATAACGAAAACCGTAATGTTGTGATAACAGTACACGAAATGTAGAATCTCATCCAGTTTTAATATAAAGTCAAATATTTATACGTGTCATGCAATTGATACGTGCAATCAAACGTCTTCCTCCAGTTTGTGATATTTTTATATACTTCTTGTTTTGTATTTTGTTACATAACAACAGAAGCGATAAATACGCGCACTCAAAAAAAACACAATTTCCAAAAAACTATGAACTTGCAGCAGTGCTGAAATATCGGAAACTCGCTAAAAACAAGGTACATTGTAACAATCCCCTAAATAACTTATTTATCTTATATATAAAATTCTCGTGTCACGGTGTGCGTAATTGAACTACTCCGAAAAACTCGACCGATTTTCGTGAAATTTTATATGCATATTCAGATCTGAGAATCGTACAACATCTATTTTTCATCCCCCTGAATGTTAAGGGTGGTCCACCCTTGAATTAATTTTTTTGTCATTTTTATGATACATCATACAAAAATACATACAACCTAAATTTTCACCTTTCTATCATCCATATTTTTATGGCGATACGAAGTTTGCTGGGCCAGCTAGTATTACAATAATCTAAGTGACCATGAAAGTTTAAAACAATAAATATGAACTCTTACATAAGTACTTATTTCCGTTTAATATATAAGTCAAATACCGAAAAACAACCTATGTGTCAAAATTAAAGCAAAAGGCGTGCGATATGAATAGTTAGCACCTAACTTATAATTTTATTTTAGTGATAATATTGACCCCAAAAGGGGGTTTATTTCTAAAGTTACATTATTAGTACACCTCTACACATAAAGCATACATGTTAAATTTCAAGTCTCTTACTTCAAAAACATAGGACTTTCATACAAACTTCTAACCCCCGTATTACCCCCTTAGGGGTGGAGTTTCGTGATAATGTGTAGCCTATATGTTGAGTCGATTTCTTAATAATATTCGTGCCAAATTTGAAGTAAATCCATGCAGTACTTTTTGAGTTTATCCCGGACATAGATACAGACAAACAGTCAAAAATCCAAAAAAACTATATTTTTGGTTTCGGTTTCGATTGTAGATCACACCCCAAGTATTCTTTTAAAAAAATATTTGTACAGTTTTGACTATCCCACCATTTTATTATATGTATATATATTATTGTGGCAGTCTCTAAGCTCTTTGCGAGAATCAAAAAAGAAATCCCTAAGATCTTGTGATTGCGGCATTTTCCTCAAAGATATCGTATTTTGCAATCATTACCTTATTACAGATTAAAAATATATGTAGCTAAAAATTTATGAAAAGCAATTTAAAAAATATGAAGCTAATTTTGAAATAGCTCTGTTTGCTTTATTTATTTTTTAATTAACTTTAATGGAAGAGTTTAACTAACTTTTAACACAATAACATTTTTAGAAAACTAAATTATTGCTGTCTTTGCATAACAGTATTTAAGTATGATTCGTTTATATCTAATTGACATCTTAATTCTAGTGCCACAATATCATCAAAAGTAACGGCACACATACTTAAAGCATCGTTAAATTAATGTTCCATAACTATAAGTGTATAACGTCACTAACGCTCCCATTACATGGCTTTTGATTTTACAGACGCAGTCGTAAATGCTATGACTGCTGTTGGTAACAAGTTCATCTATAATAATATCAAATGAAACATTATTATGTAGGTAATTAATAGAACTTAAATATAACTTAAAAGAAAAATAATTGTTTTAAAATACTATCCAACACTATCTAAGCATTTTATAAATAATAACAATTATTGTTATTTATAATATACTTATTCCTTTTTTTTATATGTAATATATTGAGAACTAGTAAATTACCGTTTGAAAAGGAACTAATAACTAAGGAAAGGTGTGGATTCTGGTATGGTTTTCTAGACCTGCCCCTCTAGCATGACTACCGAAACGGGATATGATAAAGCGATATATCGGCACTAACTGTCAGACTACTGTCAAACTCCACTGTAGTCTAACAGTTAATGCCGATATATCGCTTTATCATATCCCGTTTCGGTGGTCATGCTAGAGGGGCTGAACTTGGTTTTGCAGCGGTGTATCCTTGTCATTCTCTATATAGACTGAAAAGGGGGGACTGATGTTGGATTTGGTTTTGGGTTGGGAGAGTAGTGGCAGAATCGACAACAGTGTTTAGGTAATCACATGCATGTGTCCTGCCGTTGTGTTTATAGTTTGTTATAATAATGTACACTGGTACTTATATAATTATTTTCTATTTTTGTAACATAGTATCCATGTGTGGTTATGAGTAGTCATGCTCTCTTAAAAATCTCTTCGGTGGTCTCGTGTGAGGCGGGTCGTTGCGTTCCCTAAAAAATGGTTGAGCGAAGCCATGGCTGGTTCATGCGTCATGCTCGTGAACGGGTGCTGCCAGCGGAGATGAGTCTGCTCTTAATTCACTGGGTACTATTAATCGTTATACTAAATTTTAATCGTTCATTATTATTATTTTTTGCCTAAACAGTAGGACACGTCATTCCTAAACTTTGTTTTTTATATATATTTTTTTTATTTTATAGTCATAATTTTTATATTATTTGCATTTTTTTTGTTTGTAATGGAAAGTGACTTTATGAGTTACCTCATATTGAAGTCATTTTTCAATTTGACGACTCTGTATATAATACAGGGAGAAAAAAACAGCCCTTGCTGAGTTTCTTGCCGGTTCTTCTCAGTACAAGGTCTCCCGCCGTAGATTTGCGAACCGATAGCGTAGCTTTTCGACATTCACAAGTGCTTGTAACAGCCTAGACTGAATAAACGATATTGAATTTTGATTTTTTTAACATAGAGTGCTTATGCATATAAAATGGCAAAATATATTACAACGCTATTAAACTTCTAGATTAAATAAAATGTTATTTAATAGGAACATTAAAACTAGTGAATGAGGTAAGATTTCGATTCCCATTGTATTTTATGGAAAATATATTTATTTTTAAAGTTAGAAAGGTAAATCATGTAACATTTCATCACCACAAATTCTCCACAAAACAATTTTCCACTTTTTTTAATGCTTCCACTTATTTATTCCTCTGTCTAACTAACCTAAGCTTCCCCTGTCCAGCCGCGTCTGTCAGCGCCGGGCTGTATGTAGTATCTCATGAACCGTAATAGATTGGACAGTTGAAATATTCACAAAGTATACGTATTTCCATCCTGTACCAAAAAATAATAACATTCCATACAAACACGGCGTTTATGTTCTACCCTAAAAAATCTTGGTGTTCAAGTGTTTAGTATTTTACGACGGTGCAGCACCCTTCTTTTACGATTTCCACTCGCACTTGATTGGTTTATTTTTGTCCGCGTTTACAGCAGTAAATTATTGAATAAATATTGGTTCCAAGGTCAATTCTAGCGTGTTGTGATATGCATGCTACGTAAAAACATTCCATCAACCACAAACCTTAGTCCTTTAAGATTTTTCTTACTATGGCTATGCTTGCACAGTGGCTTCTTGTTTATATCATAGCTACGAGTATATCGCACAGCAAAAAACTGTAATCAATTAATAATTCGTTGAGATCTGCCGTTACAATAAGCAATTTTATTTTAATCATCATCATTTATTCGACAAGAAAGGAAAGCAGGAAAAAAAGCGTGGTCTACCGAAACGGTCCCTACTCAACACATGCTGCAGTCAGCAACTACAACACTGATCTTCCATAGTGTCGATGAGTGATCCAAAATGCTCATTAAATGAATACTATTGGGTCAAACTATAATAATAGTAAATATTATGGGTCCACATGGCAACAAATACTCATCAGACAAAAAAAGAATCACATAAAAACAACAAACCCGCCGAATCGAGAACCTTCTCATTTTTGAAGACGGTTTAAAACTATCCCGATTCTTAGCAGTCTCTCACCAGCCGATTGAAGATTGGATCTTTATTTAAAAACGAATAATTTCTTTATTTTATCCGTATCAAGCAGACTCCCATAAATTTTGTCTGAATAAATATTGTGTTCAAACAAATAGGTAATAAGAATACTTTGAACTGAGTTAACGATCTCTTTGTTCTCGATGAGCACATCAGTTCATTATCATTTTGTTCTTTGTGTGCCGGCGCGGCGCGTTATGTCAATTATTATGCTATCAAACAGCAGCCTTATCTAGG